GGGGGGGGGGGGGGGGGGACCATGGACACCACTACGGACTGCCTGACATTCTTCATGTACTCCCTCCCCAGCTCTCGCAAAATACCTTGTTTGCACGTTACAGTGGTACCTTCAATTTATGCCAACTGTCTGAGGATGAGAAGCCAGGGTTTAAAAATGCGGTTAACAACGTCTTTTGGCTATTTTAGACATTTTAGCCAGAGTAAGGCTATATTCATTAACTTTCTTTCTCTACAGTGTTATAGTGCTGGATACAAGTTATAGGATTCAAAAGTTATTCTTACACCTATTTTCAATCAAAATTCTTGATACCTCCCAAGAATGGTTGGAGGGGAAACGTGGGAATAGTTGGTAATCGAACCTTCCCCAAGCCCCCCTAACACTTTTCCCATGAGCCCTTTCTCACCCATGGCCTCAACACGACTCCTTTGCATCTGGAGCACCTCCAAGCAGCTGCAAACACCCGCCTCACTCGGTTCCCTCCACGTCTCTGGGTGCCTGAACTGGCAGTACAAAGGCTGGCACTGACTCCCCGGGCTGACAAAAGGGCATGGAAAGTGGCAAAGGTAACCAGCAGAGGGCAGCATGGGCTGCTGCTCAAGACCAGCCCCACTGACTCACTGTTGGCAGAGATCAGACAAAGGTGAGCATCTTTCCTGCTACCCGGTTCCCTCAAGGGTACCGTCTTATATAGTCCATCACTACTCAAAGGCGGAGCTTCATAGCTTTCCCAGCCAATGGTGAGTGAGATAAGACTGGTGTCTGGGAGAAAATGAGGAGTGAAGGACTCAGAATGGATGGTAGAGGAAGTGGCAGGTGATTGTGAACTGTGTTCTCCATAGGGAAGAAGTATCATAGAGACCTAGGCGACAGGTAGGGAAAACAATTTCCCAAGAGCTGAAGGAACACCTGCGTTAAGGATCCTCATGCCTCTTGGATATGAGGCTAATCTTGCTCCTCATGTCCTTGACTTTTGCAAGTTTGACTGTTCACCATCATGTATTATGGAGAGAACCGATTTGGAAACACAGTGTAGCCGAAGATCTAACAGGTGATCTTAGGCAAGGTATCTGACTTACCTGTTTTGGTTTCTTGATCTGTAAAGTAAACTCACCTTTCACAGGGTAGTAGAATTCAGTGTGATATAATGTAATACAGTGCCTAGCATAAAGTAGGCACTGAATAAATGAAAGTTATCGTTATGGTGAGAATTGAGGAGGACGATGAAACCTGCCCTGAGTTCTTTTTCCCACATCCACACATATCAACAAAAGACCTAGTGCATGTCCCTAAAATGCCTCCACTTGAAACTAATTCCTTTTTAAAAAATTAATTAATTATATTAATTTATTTTTTAATTTTATTTTATTTTGTCAATATACAGTGTGGTTGATTATTGTGGCCCATCACCGAAACCTCCCTCCTCCTTCTCCCTCCTCCCTCCCAACAATGTCCGTTGTGTTTGCTTGTCATATCAACTTCAGGGAATTGCAATGGTTATGTCTTCTTCCCCCCCCCCCGTTTTTTTTTGTGTGTGTGCGTGTGTGTGAATTTATTTATTTTTAGCTCCCACCAATAAGTGAGAACATTGGTGGTATTTCTCTTTCTGTGCCTGACTTGTTTCACTTAATATAATTCTCTCTAGGTCCATCCATGTCATTGCAAATGGCAGTATTTCACTCTTTTTTATAGCTGAGTAGTATTCCATTGTGTAGATATACCACATTTTCCATATCCACTCATCTGATGATGGATATTTGGGCTGGTTCCAACTCTTGGCTATTGTAAAGAGTGCTGCAATGAACACTGGAGAACAAATATACGTTCGACTTGATGATTTCCATTCCTTTGGGTATATTCCTGGCAGTGGGATAGCTGGGTTGTAAGGTAGATCTATCTGCAATTGTTTGAGGAACCTCCATACCATTTTCCATACAGGATGCACCATTTTGCAGTCACACCAACAATGTATGAGAGTTCCTTTTCCTCCGCAACCTCACCAGCATTTATCATTCAGGGTCTTTCGGATTTTGGCATTCCTAACTGGGGTGAGATGGTATCTCAGTGTGGTCTTGATTTGCATTTCCTAAATGCTGAGTGATGTTGAGCATTTTTTCATATGTCTGTGAGCCATTTGTATATCTTCCTTAGAGAAATGCCTGTTTAGCTCTTTTGCCCATTTTTAAATTTGGTTGCTTTTTTTTTTTCTTGTCAAGTTGTTTGAGTTCCTTGTATATTCTGGATATTAATCTTTGTCAGATGTATATTTTGCAAATATTTTCTCCCACTCTGTTGATTGTCTTTTAACTCTGTTAATTGTTTCTTTTGCTGTGCAGAAGCTTTTTAGTTTGATATAATCCCATTTGTTTATTTTTCCTTTGGTTGTCTGTGCTTTTGCGGTCATATTCATGAAGTCTGTGTCCAGTCCTATTTGCTGAAGTGTTTCTCCTATGTTTTCTTTAAAAAGTTTTATTGTTTCAGGGTGTATATTTAATTCTTTAATCTATTTTGAGTTGATTTTAGTATATGGTGAGAGGTATGGGTCTAGTTTCATTCTCCTGCATATTGATATCTAGTTCTCGCAGCACCATTTGCTAAAGAGGCAATCTCTCCCCCAGTGTATAGGCTTGGTACCTTTGTCAAAGAACAGATGGCTGTAGGTGTGTGTGTTGATTTCTGGATTCTCTATTCTATTCCATTGATCAGGGTGCCTGTTTTTATGCGAGTACCATGCTATTTTTGTTATTATAGCTTTGTAGTATAGTTTAAAGTCACTTAGTGTTATGCTTCCAGATTTATTTTTTTTGCTCAGCATTGCTTTGGCTATGCATGGTCTTTTGTTATTCCAT